ATTATTATTATTATTATTATTATTATTATTATTATTATTATTATTATTATTATTATTATTATTATTATTATTATAATCGCCAAAGAGCATTAGTTGTATAAAGTACGACCTACTGAGTTTGGAACAAGAAAACAGTGAGAAACAAACACCGTAAACTAAATAGACTTTATTATTATAAATAATACATAATTTTTATGAGCCATGTACAATATATACAACAGGTACAGTACTACTCTACTTGCTTCAGTATTTACTGCTGATACGGTGAAAACGCATGAACAACGTGTCATATCCAACAGTGCTTAAGCAAAAGTTCTTTAGCCACGACTTCGTTTCCACTTGCTCGGTAAATTAAAGATAAGTTGAAAGCTGCCTCCCTGTGAAGATCGTGCTTCTCTGAAAACTGAATAGAACGAAAAAAGCTAGTAAAAACGGGACTAGTGCCATATTGTTACTAACTGTTCTGGCAAAGCAGGTACACAGCAGACAGAGAGTAACATTCACAGCAGCCGCCATGACAATTTTCATGTCCTATTATAATGCAATTCAACAATTATGTTAAGTGCAGATAGCTAAAATGTTTGTATAATTATGAATTTTTTCACCCTTATTATAAGAAAATTCATAAACAGAGAGCTTATTTCCACGATTCCCCTGGCGATTTTGTGCCTCCTTAACTAAAGCAGTGTGAAGAAGGGCGATAACGTCGTCTGTTTTGCGCGTCCTCCATTAGGTCGTCTGATGGTTAAGCTGTTTCATTTGTTCCAGACGTATTATTCGTCTCGGTCGTTTTATACGTCTTAGTCGTTAAACACAGGCTTTCCAAACGATGATGAGTTTCATTTAGAACTACAAAGAGCTTGGACGTAATACAACGCTAAAGCTTATTTGCCAATTTTCTGTTGCCGCCATTTAAGAGTTCTCAGCGTTCTTCCCAAAAGCAGTTAACAATTATGGACTATCAATTTTCATATCGTTCTAGCTGACGACAACTGCGCCCTCGTCACTTATCACGCATATCCTGGTTAGCGACCTAAACCATGGTTGATCACAGGGTAAATATAATGGTCATCTTGCATAAATATTTTATTATTATCATTATCATTATCATTATCATTATCATTATTATTACCAGGAGCCATAATCGGGGACGGAGACCGTAAGTCTTGGGATCCGCGCGCACCTATGATATGGGACAATTTTTCTATTTTTAGAACAAA